ATGGGGGGGGAGGAGGAGGGGGGGGGGAGGGGAAGAGAGAGGGAGGAGGGGAAGGGAGAGGGAGAGGGAGGAGGGGAAGGGAGAGGGAGAGGGGAAGAAGGGAAGAAGGGAAGAGGGAGGGAGGAGGAAATGGGGAAGGAGGGAGGGGGAGGGGGTCCGGCGGAGAAGGGGGAAGAAGGGGGCGGGCATGCTGGACTCACTGTGTATTCGGTGTTGGGGGACGAACTCGTAGGTGGGGGGGGGGGGGGGGGGGCAGCTGAGGTCGTGCTGTTCAATGGCTACACGTGCGTGTATCGGGTGGCAGCGGATGTGGCCATGTACGTTGTCGGCGCCCCGCACGAAAACGAGCTCATCCTCATGTCGGTCCTGGATGGTATGTATGACACGCTATTCATTCACATGAAGGACCAGGTCGATGCCCTCGCCATTCTCGAGCACCTCACCTCGGTCCTGCTGCTGCTCGACGAGATGGTCGACAACGGCATCATCATCGAGACCACTCCCGAGATCCTTGTCGAGCGCATCCGCAACGAGCCGCGCGGCTCCAAGAAGCTTGCCAAGGCCGCGTCGTCCGCCATGGACAAGGGTCTCGACAAGCTCAAGCGCGCTCTGCTCTCGTAGACGAGCCAGTAACATCCACAGCTTTGTTCAGCCCGGCCTCACACGCCTCACAGGTCGTGGAAGAGATGCGCAAAGTCCGCCTGCGAGCCCACCACAGACCAGTCGGGAATCTTGGGCTCGTCCAGATACTCGTCGCGCGAGATCGAGGTTTGTGGCAGGTACTCGGTCATGGCGCCAACAAGCGACGCGCCCGTCCATGCCAGGTGGTCCGGCCCGTGCGGTGACGGCACAAACCGAAACCGCCCTGCAAGCGGCGCAAGCTCGCGGAATCGCCCATCCGACGACACCAGCGCATCGAGCTCAAAGCCAAGCCGCCGGTGCAGGCCAGGCAGTGACGCAGAGCCGCCGATGACCACAATGTTCTGCGCGAGCGTCCCGCGGACATCCATCGGCGCCGCAACCAGCGTGAGGAGCACAAGCTCGGGCAGACTCACAATCTCCGCCGCGTTATTGCTGTGGAAAAGAACCTCGGCGGCCAGGCCGCGGACGCAGCCCTGGATGTCGTACACTGTCTCCAGCCCATGGCTCAGGTGCACGTCGGCACTGGTATCCGGCGGCGGCGTGGCGCCGGCATCCAGCTTGTCGCCCTCGCCCAGTCGCACAAAGCATGCCTTGACCTTAAAGTCCTCCACCACGTCCCGCGGCAGCTCGCCCGGCTCGTCGCCGCCGCGCCCGCCACTGCTGCCCAACGCCGCGCCCGCCCACTCGCGCCACGCAGGGTCGTCCAGGCACGCATCCGTCTCGTCGCCCGGCAGATCGCCCAGATCGTGCGCTGGTGCCCACGGCGGGCGGATCTTGGCGTGCTGTCGCAGCAGCCGGCCAATGTTGGCGTCGATGAGCGCGCCGGCGGCATCGGACTCGCGGGCCACCGTCAGCAGCGGCATCGAGTCAACCACAGGTAGCGTCCGCGCCGCTGCTCCGCCGACGTCAACCACTAGAGCCGTCGGCAGCCGGAGCGCCAGCAGCCCCAGCGCGCCGGCAGGATGCATCAGCAGCGAGACCATGCCCAGCTCGGCGAGAGCAACATGGGCCAGCGCATTGCGAAAGCGCGATGGCGTCGACACGTCCTCGGCTACCACCAGGCGGCGCTCAGTCGGATCAACCTGCAGCGTTTCGCCTACTAGACTCCGCAGCCACAGCGCAGTCGCCTCCCGCCACTCGGGATCCGATCCCCGCTGAAAGTGTGTCGGTCGGACGACCGCCAGTGACAGCACCCGTCCGTCAGGCAGTGCCAGCGACGACGCCAGCGTCGCCCGGGGAAACGGCTCACCGGCAAGGCCCACACGGACATGTGTGCACCCAATGTCCAGCACAATCGCTGCCTTTTCTGTCGAGTAGAACGCCATGGAGGTGAGTGGGGTGGCTGCCGCTGTGTGTGTGGGTTGGGGGGGGGGGAGGGGGGGGGGGTCGGCGGCGGCTCTCGTCACGGCTGGCGGCTGTGAACGACTTGTGACAGCGTCGGTCCGTGGTGCTGCAGTCTCGTTTACGAGGCTCAAGGTGGCAGGGCTGGGAGATAGGACTCGATGGCAGCAAGAAAACGCCGGGCGTAGTCGGGCGGAGGGATGACGGTGGGCACACGGGCTTTGGCCCGCCGAAGCCCCTCGAGACGCGTCTTGAGCTGTGACTCGACCTTTTTGTCCCAGGTATACGGCCGGAGCCAGTCGATGATGCCCACATGCAGGCTTCCGGTCGCCTCGCTCACCGCCAACAGCATCGAGTAGTCCATGATGTTGTGCTCGACGAGCCAGTCGGTGTCGGCTCGGGCTGCTTCCAGAAGCTCCGATCGCGGGCCGGGCGGCATGAAGAGTGGCGCCACCGCGCGCTCGCGTCCAAAGTTGCCGTCCATTCGCACCGTTGCGCCAGTGCATGCCTCGCGCGACCGCTGCGAGCCCTTCAGGTCGTAGACTGCGTCAAACTCGCCCAAGGCCCCAAACAGCACGTTCTCCATCACTACAAGAAACTCGTCGCTCGCCACAGGTGCACCTTCTGGCATCCCGCTCTGTGCCAGCGAGTCGGCAAGCACGTCCAGGCTCGGTCCGAGTGCGTCCGCCACAGGCTCCACCCACGCCTCCACGTGTGCCTTTGGTCGTGCCTCACATGTCCGCAGCGCCACTCGATACACTCCAAAGATGCGCGCAAGACATGAGGGCGCGCCTCGCGCCATCCGCGCAAAGTACTCGGTCCCGATGCGCACAAAGTGCTCAAGCTCCACCCGCGACATCGACTTGAGCACAAACCGCTCGTCAAGCGTCTTGCAAAACGACGCCGACGACTTGCCGCCCTGTGCTTGCCACTGCATGCATCGCGCGAGCGACGCCCGGAACAGGCTCTCATCTATTCCGGCTCGTCCACGGAGCGCTGCAAACTCGGGCTCAAACAGCGAGAGGACACTAAAGCCCCAGCCCGGGAGCCCGTCAACAGTCACCCCGAACGCCAACCCATGGCAGCTGTCACCGCCTGTGGTTGCGGAGCCCATCGCGTTCGCCATCGCGCTCGCCATCGCGTTCGAGCCGAGCGCAAACGCAATGAGCGACGACGGCTCGGACTGGAACACATCTGCCAGACCAGCCGACGTCGACTCGGGGAGTAGCACCAGCGCCGCGGCATCGATCCGCTCAACAAGCGCGTCGAGCGAGTCGCGCAGGCCTGGTGCGTCAAGCACATGCGTCAAGCCGGCGGCAAGCAGCAGACCGTGCTGCGGCGGGACGTCGATGGAGAACCATCGCGTGGCCACAGGCAGCGCTCCACACGCCGCACGCCATTCGCCCGCTGCCGCGTGCAGCGTCAGACGCAGCCGGTTAAGATGCGCCAGCATGACCTCAGTCTGCCCATCGCTGCCTCCATTGCTCACCGACGCCACAAACGCCTCGCGTTCCGCTGCCAGTCGGTCAAACAGCAGCCGCACAGGCACTTGGAGCGGCCCATTATCCGAAAGCACTCTGCGGAGCGCGCTCTCGCCGCACGCCTCGTGCACCAGCAGAAGAAAGACGGTGTCGTAGAGCGCAATCCCGACGTGGCGGACCCACTCGCGCGACGACTCGATAACGTCGACGAGCGGTGCCTCGAGGGAAAGTGCGTCGCTAGCTCCGGGTAGCTTGGCGCGGTATGTCGCCAGTGGAGCCACCTCGAGCTCGATCCTGCCTCCAGCCAGAACAAACTCCAGCGAGGTGGGCATGGCCCAAGCGGCCAGCTGAGCCACAAAAATGGCAAACGAGAGCCCTGCCACCTCGGGCGTCACCGGCATCAGCTCGGCTTCGCCCTCGCGTCGCACCAGCAGCTCATGCGACGGTGCTTCGCCTGTTCGAGTGCCGCGAACGAGCGTGAGGACTGCTGAGCGAGTCACAAACACTGTTGCGTGATCTGCGAGTGCCTGTCCGCACCGCGGACAGCTTGCATCAGCTTCCGACAGCGCCCACGCGACGTAGCCGGCAACCGACCATGCCTTGTCGTCGCCGCGTGGCTCAGCGTAAAACTGTAGCTCCTGCTCATCAAGTGGAAGACACGGTGGCGCAGCTTCGGAAAGCGTTGCCGCAGGCACATATGTGGCAGCGAGCACCCTCACCCTCGCCGCCGCCGGCAAAGTGTCCAGACCCCACAGAGGAGATGCAACCTCCAGCGGGAGGCCGGGCGCGATCACTCTATTGAGTGCATCCAGCCGCTTCCGCAGGACTCGGACGTAGACCGCGTCGCTCACAAGGCCCTCGGTCTCGGTGTGGAGCGCGCGAGAGAGCGCGACGCCGGCGGCCGCAGTCGTCTCCCGGTGTGCGGCAAAGAGAGCAAGCGGGAGCGAGCCAAGTGGCGCGCCAGGCACTGAGCGCAGCGCAAAGCGCTCGAGGCCCACCCCGACATCAGCGTCGGTGGTGAGTGCGTCTAGTGCGTCAAGCCGTGGCGCGCCGGCCGCCGCAGCGATGGCGCCCACCGTGGCCGAAGGCACCATCGTCAGTGCCGTGATCGATGCCTGCATCAGAAGCTCAAGTGCGTACTTGGAGGCGGACCGTGACAGGACAACCAGCGAGACGCCAAGTTCCGCGGCGGCCGTGACGAAGCGTGAAACCTGAGGGTCGGCCTCGTCGGGTGCGTCGGGTGAGCCGAGCGGCGCATCGAGCACCACCACCCGCGGCGCATCCAGTCGAGGTAGCATGCCTGAGTGCGGCAAGTCGTGGTGGATGAGAGCGCCGGCGTGCGCAGACCACATGACAGCATCGGCGTCGGTGGCCAGGCTCCCGTCGAGCGTTGCCAACGCCAGTCGCGGGACTCGGGCAAAGGTAAGCAGGCGGCGCGGATCACCGGCGGCGAGTCCGATCCGCGACGTGAGGACTGCTGAGAGTGTGAAAACCATGTCGCGCGCCTGGCCCAGGCCCGCAGCTTCTACGAGCCGTGCGACGGCGGCCTCAACCTGGGTGGTCCGCGGTGTTGAGACTGCCACCGGTGCCTCGCTTGTCGGCGTCATGGGCTCCTCAACCGCGGGGTTCGCTGGAGCCGGGGACACCAGCGCGTGTGCCAGGGCGTTCGGAGCCCGCGATAGAAACGACCACTTGTACGACGAGAGCCGCGGCGCGCCAAAGGAAGAAATTGGATGAGCTTGGAGATCGAGCGAGGTTGATGGGAGGCGAGCGCGGGTCATCGGCGACGCGCTCGCCGGTGGCGTTGCAGCGGCGGCAGGATTGCCAGCCGGTGAAAACGGCGGGTCGGGCTCGCCCGCAGACGCCGCAAGAACATCGCCCAATGCGTCCATGTCCCACATCAGCGACTCGTTTGGAGAGAGCAACGGCTCAAACATCGGCGTCTCATCGTCGTAGTCATCGTCGACTCGGCTGTGGCTCTCCAACTTGGAATGAGTCCGCCGGGCGACAGCCACTGATGGCGACGGAACAAGAATCGACGGCACATGCGGCGATGAGACGTGCAGAACCCTCTCAACTGGCTTTGTGCAACCATCATCGCCAGCCGCTAATGAGGGCGAGTGCTCAGCAGGCGGAGCAAGAGCAGCAGCAAGGTCCGATTGGCAAGTGGAGCAGATGCGCAGAGCAAGCAGAGAGGCTTCCGCAGGCGGCAAAGAGAGAGGCAGCAGCAGCTCGCAACGGGAAGAAAGACATGCCGCACAGAGAATGCGAGCACAGAGCGGACAATGACGGCGCCATCGCAACAGACCAAAGCCCACACCACAGCCAGCACACCTACGAGGAGGATGGCCCAGAGGCTTCCGCTTGAGCCCTGCCACCACACCCGCCACAGCCTCCCTTGTCTCGGCCGCAAGCAGCCGGGATAGCGGTGACTCTCTCCTGCTCTCGGTCACCGCCATGAGTGGAGAGAGGGAGAGGGAGAGGGAGAGGTAGAGAGTGAGAGAGAGAGAGGTGTGTGGCTGGGGCTGGGGCTGGGGCTGGGGCTGTCACCGGAGCGTGTCGTCACTCGGCAGGTCTGTCGCCGAGTGCCACGTTGGCGGAGGAGAGCAAGGCACATGGCCGTGACGGACTTTGATGGCATCACATTGATTGGGTTGGGGGAGATATATATAGATAGATAGATAGATGGATAGAGTGAGTGGAGAAGCATGCAATGTGTGGTGGTAAGGAATGGTACCGAAGGGTGATGGTGATGGATGGAGGGTGGATGGATGGATGGATGTGGTGGATGGATGAGGCTTGTCTACCGTAAGGGGTACAGGGGTGATCCAAAGAGATCACCGCTCACTGTCCCCTGTCCCTCCCCTCCCCCCCCGTGGACACACACACACACACACACACACACACACACGTAGATGCTACGACAAGAATAGATCAGACGTGTCACCCCAAAAGCAAACTGGAGACTGCCTCTACATTCTCCGATCCGACTTTATCCACTTCAAGCTGCCTTAGATCTACCGTCCATGGTCTCTGCCCACACTCCCCCTTGCTCGCCCTCCGCTGCTCGCTGCTCGCGGCTCCGGCGGCGACACATCTCGCTGTAGTGGGCATCATGTCTGTGCTTCCTTCGCCCGAGACAACGTTTGAAGACGGGGAGCGAGAGACACTACCGGTCGAGTATGTGGCGTATGCGGAGGAGGTGCTGGCGGGCAAGGCGCACTCGGAGACGGCGCCGGCGTTCTGGGTGGCCAAGTACGAGAAGGAGGCAGCGCGGAATTGGGACATCTTCTACAAGCGCAACACAAACAAGTTTTACAAGGATCGTCACTGGCTCAAGGCCGAGTTTCCGGCCCTGGCTGCCGGCGATGGCTCGCTGCGCCTTCTCGAGGTCGGCTGCGGCGTGGGCAATACCATCTTCCCGCTCCTTGATGAGGTGCCAGGCCTGGAGATTCTCGGCATCGACTTTGCGAAGCGTGCCATCGCTATGGTCCGCGAGCATCCGACGTATGTGGCCGAGCACACTGCCGATCGGAGCCCGCGCGTCCATGCTGCCGTTGCCGACCTTGTCCACGACGACATTGTCGCCATTGTCGACGAAACCTTTGGCGCTCCCGTCGACTGCCTCACCATGATCTTTGTCCTCTCGGCCATCGCACCCGAGCACCACCCGGATGTCATGGCTAAGATGGCGCGCGCCATCCGTCCTGGTGGACTCATTCTCATGCGTGACTATGGCCGCTACGACCTTGCCCAGCTCCGGTTCAAGAAGGGCGCCAAGCTTGCTGACAACTTTTACGTCCGCGCCGACGGCACCCGCGCCTACTACTTTAGCCTCGACGAGATCGAGCTCCTTGCCCATGCTGCAGGCTTGATCGTTGATCGCGCCGCCTACGTTCTCCGCAATGTTGTCAACCACAAGGAGGGCAAGTCGATGAACCGTGTCTGGTTCCAAGCCGTTCTTCGCCGGCCGCTCCCTGCCGATGCCGATGCCGATGCTCCAGCCACCCGTGCCGACGCTGATGTCGCCACTGATGCTGCCACCGATGACGCTCCTGACACACCATCTTCATAACCCCCCCCTCCCCTTCCCTCCCACTCCCCTACTCCCGGCACTTGCATGCACAAAAGCCCTTAGTCCCCTCACCGACCAACCGACTGACACAGCCCGACACAGCCCGTGTCACCGTCCCCCCCTCGCCCTCCCCCCCCACCCCAACAGCCCCGTACCACTTCACCCCCGCCCCCCCTCCCCTCCCCCCTCCCATCCACCCACCCAATGGCCTGGCTCACCTCTCCACCCCTGGCCCAGGCCTCGTCCTTCCTCACCGCCACCCACGACTACTACGGTACGCACCCCCTCCCCTCCCCCCTCCCCTCCCCTCCCCTCCCCTCCCCAACACTCACGCCTCCCTACCTCTCCGCGCAGCACGACCCATGCTGGACGAACCGCTGTTTGGGACGCCGCTTGCGCTGGTGCCGTACGAGATGGCAGCGCTCTGCGCAGAGCTGCATGTCCTGCTTGATGCCGAGCTGGAGGCGGCAGGAACCGACTATGGACGGCATGTGTGGGACGATGGCTCGGCTCTGGTCAACGAGGTGATCGATCGCATGCACAGCGTGGCAGCGTGTGCAGAGCCCGAACTGGATCTGGGCTCGTATATGGCCCATCACGGCCTTGATGTCATGTATCCCATCGTGGCCGACCGTCTCGGTCTTCCGCTGCCGGACTCTGAGGACCGCCACATGCGCGACTACTTTCCGCACATGGCCCTCCTCCACCAGATCGTGACGCTTGCCGACCAGCTAGAGGCCGACCTCATCCTGCCCAACCACAAGTACTACGCCCACCAGATTGCGCTCCTCTACTCGCTCTTTGTCCAGGCGGGCATGAAGGGCTCGCGGTTCAAGAAGCGCATCGAGGGCATGTTTGACGAGATCAAGGACGTGACCGAGGGCCAGGACGTGCCGCAGCTCTCTGACGAGCTCAAGGAGACCATTCGCGACATGGCCTATGACGTCCGCGACGCCATCTCGCGCTTCCCATCCAAGCTCACTCGCCGTCTCTCGCCCATGCGCAAGTTCATCACCCAGCACCCGGTCGGTGCCTTCTGAAGCCCGCCGCCGCCCAGCCTGCGTGTGGGAGCCAGCAACAAAAAGGCGAGTGACGCCACCAGCGAAGCGAGAGAGAGTGTGTGCAAGAGAGTGAGTGTGTAATGGATGCAATGAGATGAAAAAGGATGCCGGTGAGCTGGCGAGGCTCTACTTGTGCTTGAGGTTGTGGAAGAAAAAGTTCATCATGGTCGCCCAGCCCTTCTGGAGCGACTGGAAGATGAGACCACGGAACTCCTCGCGGGCTGCAGCCTCGGACTCGGCGTCAAGCGCGAGCGAGGTGCGGAGGTGGGCGAGGTCCGAGATGGAGCGGAGCTCGGGGATGCCGGTGGAGACCATGAGCATCATGAGGTTGATGATGAGGTTGGCCTTGCGGCGGAGCGAGACAAAAGCGTCGCAGGCGACCTCGACAAACTCGGCAAAGTGCGGCGACTCCTTGCCGCCCATGACGTAGACCATGTCGGGGGTAAAGACAAACGGAGCGCGCTCGCGCTTGATGCCAAGCTTGCGCTTGATGTTGCCCAGAAAGTGGCCAAAGTCGATGTGGAAGAGCCGGCCCTTTTCCGAGAGCATGATGTTGTCGTTGTGGCGGTCGCCGATGCCGAGGACGTAGGTGGCAACGCAGTATGCGGCACACGAGATGGTAAAGGTCTTGACGGCCTCGGCGTATGCGGCCTCGTCCTTGCACTTGCCCTTGAGCCATTCGGCGAGCGGCTCGTCCTTGAACGCTGCCGCGGATCCACCGTAGTCCTGCTGGATGTTGGCAATGGTGTTCGACCAGCGCACGACTTGGATCATGCCGAGCGACGGGCCCGTCGCCATGCACGAGTACGGCTCAAGACGGACGGGCAGGCCGTCGTTCTCCCACACCTTGTCCATGATGGAGAACAGCTGCAGCGTGAGCTTGTCCTGGCGGAGATCGTCGCCGGCCTTGAATATGACGTACAGGTCGTCGCCCGACTCGTCCTCGTTCTCAAACACAAGCCAGAGCGGGAGCTTCTTCGAGTCCATGTACTTGCACTTGTCGAGCTTGAGGCCCGAGACTGACCACTTGGGGTTGAGCAGGATCTGGACACGTCCGTCGCCAAAGGTCATGCGCCGGAGGTGGTCCTGGAGCACGTCCATGCGCATCGGGCCCTTGACCTCCTTGATGGCCTCGGCAGCACGGACGAGCTGGACAAGCAGGTCGTTCTGCTTGATAAGCTCGTCGCGGTGGCGGCCGCAGCCGCGGAGGTACGCCTCGAGAAGGAGCGAGAAGCGGACCGTCACGTCGGGCTCCTCCACTTCGGACTTGAGGATCCAGAAGAACGAGTGCCCGATGCGGCGGTTCTGCAGCGCGCGGACAAGGAGGAAGCGCGCGAGCTCCGACTCGTGGTGCGGCTCGTACTTGAGGACCTGCACGAGCTGCAGCAGAAAGTCCTCCAGCATCTCGTCCGAGATCGAGTTGAGGCACTCGATAGCAAACGAGCGAACCTTGGCGTCAAAGTAGTTGGCATCGAGGAGCTCGAGCGAGTCGACCGGGTCGAGAGGCGCCCACACATCAAGCAGCCGGTGGACTTCCTGGACCTGCGACGGGTCGTCCCACTTGACTGAGAGCAGGAACTTGGGCAGGGCCTCCGGCGTGTGGACCAGCGTGTACCGCGCCTTCCACAGCAGGTCCTTCTCGCCTGGCGTGATTTCGGCGAGCGGGTCGCGTGCAATGACCGCGTTGATCACCACGGCCTCCTCGGGCGGAACCGACTCGGCTGCCGAGAGGTCGAGCGGCGCGAGGACCGGGAACTCTGGAAAGACAACCGGGTGCATGCGGCGCGGAAAGGCGAGGTGCAGAGTCGGCGCGTCCGAAGCCGGGTTGTCCGACGTGGGCCCGATCGGGTTCGCCGGGTCAAACTCCCACAGCTTGAACGAGTGCTTGCCCGCCACCAGCTGGTTCCGAAAGTCGACCAGCTGCAGCGAGGTCCACCCAAGCGCGTAGTTGTTGTCCGACTCGGGCGAGAGGTCGTGCGAGACTTTCTTCTGGCCCCACACCGTGACGCACAGCCGAGCAGCCTTGGGCAGGAGCGCGAGCTTGGTCGTCAGCGCGAGCGTCTCGTAGAACCGCGGGCAGTTGTTCGACCACTCGTGGGCCTCGATGACCTGCGAATACGTCGGCGGGCAGAGCTGTTCCTGGCCGTGGAAGAGGCCAACCTCCACAAACATGGCAGCGGCGACGCCCTCGACCTTGGGCTTGCGGTGCTCCTTGCCCCAGTGCCACGAGACGAGCGAGGGCTTGATGGCGTCGAGGCCGACAACCTGGACCTTGACCACGTCGTCCACGTCCCAGAGCGAGATGAACGGCGCTGCCGAGTCGGGGTGCGCCGTCTCAGAAAAGGCAATGTTCGAGTGCTCAAAGTGGGCGACCTGGTGCTCGGCCGCCGGAAAGTGCGGCTCGATGTGGGTGAGCGGCGTGGCCACAAGCTCGGGCACCGTCGACCGTTCGACCACGTTGATGGGGATAAACGCGCCCTTGGCTGCACCCGCACTCCGGATGTACTCGTAGTCGCAGAGCGGCGCGTCGCCGAGCAGAAAGTCCCACTCACCAGGGACCTTGAGCGTATATGCCTCGGCCACAAAGCTCTCAGCAGGTGCCTGCAGGAGGACAGCGAGATTGGCGGCAAACTTGTCAAAGACGGTGGCCAGTGCCTGGGTCGGCGTCAGCGACGAGAGCACCTTGCCGGTCTTCACCACGTCATCCGAGAACCGCAGCCGGAAAATAAGCTCGGCCGGAAAGTCCGGCGGCGCCGGCGACGACTTGAGGTTCGGCACGACCGCCTCGGAGACCATGCGCGAGGCGCCGGCCAGCTGCGACCGCAGCCGCTTCATGTTGCCGCGGAACGAGGAGACCTCGTCGTTAGCGCCGTCAAAGAACTGCAGCGGAATGCCGATGAGCGACCCGATCTGCATTGTGGCAAACTTCTCCTTGCGGATGAGCTCCTTGCGGAGGACAAAAAACCGGACAACGGCCTTGGTGTCGAGCTTGCGGGCGCGGACAATGGCGTTGCGGACCGCGGCAAGCGACCGCAGCGTCATCGGCTCCTCGTTGGCCGCCGACGATCCGACCGAGAACATGCGCGACTCGCTAAAGTCGTTGTCTAGCCCCTGGCCTGTCGCCCGGAGCACACTGATCGCGCGCTCCTTGGCCTCGCCCACCGTCAGCGTCGTCGCCACGTCGCGAACCTCCACCTCATGGGTCACGTCGCCCTCGCCAAACACAAACAGGACCTGGATGTCGATCTTGGCATGGCCGCGCCGCAGTCGCGACTCACGCCGCGACTCGTGGCTCGCCCCAGCCGCCAGCCACTGCGACGCAGCCGACATCGCCTCCTCCTCCAGGAGCTCCTTTTGCGCCGACGAGAGGCTGCCGGCCAGCGCCGTCTGCGCGTGCATCCGCTTCTTGGCCGCACCCAGTTGCGGAAGGCTCGGCGTCTTGTTGCGTTTCATCGGCGCGCTTGCCGACGCAGCTCGCACTGTCCGCAGCCCGCCCTCGGAGCCTGGCCGCGAGCCGCCGATGTACGGCGACGATGGCGTGCCCGGCGACGCGATCGGCGACGATCCGCCCATCGCAGTGTGCAGGTTGCGCAGCAGCGTCTTTGACGCGCTCTTGGCCTTGACATGCGCATCCTCGAGTGCAGGTGTCATCTGCATCACACAACATGGTGAGTGGTAGAAAGGGGGGAAGGGGGAAGGGGGGAGGGCGAGTAAAGGGAGATGTACGAGTACCACCAAGAGCAATGGGCTATGGTGAAATAGAGCCCCAGCTCTAACGATAAGGTATCTCGCGGACATACACATAATCTAGCACAACAAACGACCACACCGATCAGGGATTACGGGTGGAGATACCTGGTGCAAGGGGAGGGAAGGGAGGGAGGGGGAGGGAGGGAGGGAGGGAGGGGGAGGGGAGGGGGGGAGGGGTTGGTGGCCAGAGACCGAAAAAAAATAATTCATGGCGATGGACCATGTATATGACAATCGTCTGGATTCTGCATTGATCCGTACCTGGGAAAGGCGTGTGATGTTCGACGTCTCCTCCGGGTTGGCCGCAAACGCCCGGCAGGCATTGAGGAACTCCCTACAGCAGCAAAGGGGGTTAGTTGGGAGGGTGGGGGTAGGGGGTAGGGGGTAGGGGAGTAGGGTGGGAAAGAGCGTTCGTACTCGAGAGGAAGGGGCACAGCCGACGCCATGGTGGGTAGGCGGGCTGTTGAAAAGTGTCGGTCGGTGGCGTTGGTTTTGTTTGTTGTGGCGAATCGGGGAGTGGTGGCCGGCTGATTGATGTGGCGGTGCGGCGGCAGCGACAGAACAGCGACAGCAGCGACAGCAGCAGCGACAGCAGCGACAGCGCAGCGGCGACAGCAGCGACAGCAGCAGCGACAGGCGGGTGCGCGATGTGGTAGTGGGCAGTGAGAGTGAGTGGTCCTCGTCGTATCACCTGTCTGTGGACCACGGAGACGCGGCCACCATGGAGCTCGAGTCGTACGTGGAGGGCATGCATATGAGGACGGGGTGGTGGGTGGGTGGGTGGTTGTCTGGCTTGTGTGGGAGGGGGGGGGAAGGGGGGGTGTATGTGGTGGGGTGGCGACCTACTTTTTCGGCTTGTTCCTGCTTCGGCTAGTGGCCTTGCATGGGGTTGGTGGGCATGAATGGGACTGGTGAGAGGCGGGAGAGCACGGGGATGGTGATGGTGCTGTTTGTATGGAGACTATGTGTGTGTGTGTGTGTGTGTGTGTGTGCGTGTGTGTGTGTGTGTGCGTGTGTGCGTGTGTGCGGGTGGTGGTGGGCAGCTGCGCTGGGCGGTTGCTGTGACGGGCGGCAGCGTTGGAGCTCGGCTCGACTTACGGACGACGCTGGGGGTGGGTATGGGTGACCGGGGAGGACAGGTCGATGAAGATGAATCTGTACGACATGTCCAAGGCGACGCTGGTGGGACTGTTCACCATCTTTCTGTGCTTGTTTAGCATTTCTGTGATCATCGGGGCGGCCGGCCCGCCGATCTTTGACTCGTACCAGACGACGGCGCTGTCGCAGGGTGTGGACATGCGGTACAACACGTCGCAGTTCAACTGGGAGATTCAGCACCTGGACAAGCTCAACCAGATGCTAATTTTCAAGGTTGCGCTTGTCAACGGGCGGGCGGCAAGGGAGGGGATCAACACTCGGCTGACGATGAAAACGTCGCTGTACGGGTCCAAGGACGGCTTTGCGTTCAATGCGATTGTGGTGGACAAGATCGAGTCGCGCAAGATCAAGTGCTCGCAGGGCAACATCCACTGCGACGAAGTGGCACTCCTCCACGAGCCGTTTGTGCACTACCCTATCTACCGGGTCGATGTGCGGTTCCTCAACGCCGAGGAGGAGGACTGGATCCAGGACGCGGTCTTCATCTGGCGGGTGTTCAACCACTCGTTCACGCTCTTTGAGCTCTGGTTCCGGTTCACCTTCCTCGTCCTCACCTTTGTCATGCTCGTCTGGTTCTCGCACCGGCTCCGGGCGTACAAGTCGAGCGAGTGGTCAATCGAGCAAAAGTGGATGACGGCGCTGTTGTTCTCGCTGCTGGCGTACAACAACCCGCTCTTCCCGCTCACCATTCTCGCTGACTCATGGTTCCCCGAGTTCCTTGACGTCTGCTTCTTTGTCACCTTTATTGCCCTTCTTCTCCTCTTCTGGCTCTGCATCCTCGACTCGATCCGCAAGCCGGCTACGGCGCGGACATACATCGGCTTTTACCTGCCCAAGGTCGCGCTGGTGGGCACGCTCTGGCTCATCTCGGTGGTGGTCTTCACCTGGCAGGAGCTGCACGAGCTCGACAACCCGACGTACTCGACGGCCAACGACATTCCAGGTTTTATCTTCTTCCGTGTTGTCCAGATCCTGCTGCTCATCGGCTACACGTTCTGGCTCATTTTTGTGGCCATTCTCGGTGTCAAGGACCGGCGGGCCTTCCCGCGGCTCTCTGTCCGCATCAAGTACCTGGGTATCCTCACCATCTTTGTCCTTGCCATCACCATCACCGGCATTGTCCTCGGCGTGGTCGGCACCATCCACAACAACGCGGCCCAGTTCCTCTCGTTCTTCTCGCTCTTCAACCTCTACATCTTCTTCCTCGCCATCGTCTACGCTCCACCTAAGAACGCGGGTGGCCCGGCCCACATGCGGCTGAACAACATGGCGCCGGTCGACTCGGACTCGGAAGAGGCTGTCGGCCTCGGCGCGGCCTCGGGCCGCCGCACCCACTTCCGCGACTCGTACACTGACGACGAGGAGCGCTCCGGCTCGGCGCTGACCGACGACGACGGCGTCGGCGGCACGCCCATGAACCGCGGCAGGATCTCCGGCTCGGGCTACTCGTCGTCCGACGAGAACACTCGGGCGGCGGCGGGTGCCGCCGTCTCGGCAACGCCCGCCATTGCCGCGCCTGCCACCGCAGCCTCGCCGGCCCCGGCCGCCGTCTTTGGCGCCCAGCCGCTCGCCTTTGACCCGCCGGCCAAGCCGGCGGCATCGACCCCGACCCCGAACTTGATTTGAGGACTGCGTGTGTGCTATGTTGAAAAAGTGTGTTTGAGAGACATATAGCGACGCTAAGTGGTGCGGACCACGTTGGCAAAAACCGCAACAAACTCCTGCGGCGTGAGCATGCCATCGCCGTCCTTGTCGAGCTCGGTAAAGAGCGAGGCTTGGACGTCATGCCCGGCGATCTTGATGATCTCTTCTAGCGTGCCCATCGAGGCAATAGCCGACTTGAACTGGTCGCGCGAGAGCTTGCCGCCACCGTTGGCGTAGACATCGTACTGCGAGAAGATGTCATGGACCGTGGTCTCAAACACAACGACCGGGACGACGGCAGAGAGGAACTCGTGCCGCGAGATGGCGCCGTCGCGGTTGATGTCCATCTCGTCAAAGGCGAGCACCGTGGTGATGCCGTTGCGGACCAGCGCATGGACCACCTCGGGATGGTTGGCCAGAAATGCCGCCAGCTCTGCCCGTGACAGCTCGCCATTGCCATCACTATCGGCGTCGTCAAAAGCTTTCTCTGCGTCGGCGATGATCGACCGCGCTACGCGCATCTTCATGGCCCGGAAAGTGTTGGCGATCTCCTGCAGGAAGCTGTGTAAGTGTGTAGCGCCCACTATGATGTTCACGCCCGATCCCAAGCCCGTGCCCAACACCTCATCAGCCATGCCCTTGCCATACCCTTCCCTCGGCCATGGCCATGCTCCTCCGCCAGTAGACGACACCTGCCGCCACGGCCGAGACCACCACGGCTCCACCCACGACAAAGACCTTGGACAGCGCCCATGGCCCCACCCCATCACCACGTCTGATCTTCTTGCTGGCCATGTTGGTGAGTCACGTAGTCTCCCTCTGCGTCAGTGGGGGGGGGTCGGTGGGGGGGGGGGGGGGGGGGGGGAAAAAAAAAAAAGGTTAACTGCCGCCCCCCCCCCCAAAAGTGCCAGGGGGGGGATAACAAAAAGGGGAAGAAGGGGGGATGGGCCCCCCTCTTTTCCCCCCGTAGAAAAAAAAAAAAATCAGTTACGGGGCCAAACTCCCTTACCTTTGTGCTTTCCTCCCCCCTTTTTTTTTTTTTGTCTTTTTTTTTTTTTTATAAAGAATTTTAAAAAATA